AAAAATTAATTTTGAAACAGGTATATATTAACACTTACATGTAGAACTCTTTTACACAAGGATTCTTCAGCTAGCTGTTTTCACTTTGTAAATATGTAACTGGCTGATTTTATGCCAGTAGAAATAATCTACCACATTATTTTTAATGTCTGTATGATACTGTAGAGAATGGATGATTTGTTTTTATTGTATGTATATCCTAGTACGAATATATAGTTATATGACTGAGAAATATCTCGTATTTTAATTTGTCTTTTCTTGACTGTGTTATAAATGGTTAAAAATCTTTTTGTGTATTTGGTAGCCATTTCTGTTTCCTCTTGTGAATGGTTTTCCATATCTTTTGTACATTCTCTCTTTGGTGGTTTTTCTACACTTACTGGCTTGAAATCTTCTATGTTGTTGTAGAGAAAAGATGGCAGAGTCTGGTTGAAATTAAAAGCAAAGAGCTTTTGTTGAGGGGTAAGGCAATTTGCAAATTGGAAATCACAAAATCCAGAGGACTCTGAACTAAGTGATCCAAGGAGGAGATAGTTCAGAGAGTTTATATAAGAGAATACAATGAAATTCAATAAAAATTTAGTGATTGATTGACATTTAGGTAATGGTTACTAAGTTAGGTGATGATACATCTCCTGGTAGGAGATTACATGTTTCTAAAGTTATTTTTCAAAGTTACCACATAATCATTAAATTGGGTACCTCTGGCCTGAGAAAAAATCATGAGACCCCCTTTCTGTGACTGTAAGAAGGACATGTGTAATTCTAAAGTTTGTTTTGAGTAGGGATCTATTCTGAGAATTCTTTTGGACCTGGTTTCCTGGGCACAAACAATACCTGTAAACTAACAAAGTACATTGATTTCTGGAATAGTTTACAAAGTAATTTTCTCAGGGAACAATGGAGAGCTACAGAAATGACAGGCTTATTTCTAATGTAGGGGTTACTTTTGATTCAAAATGGAGTTTAGCCTCAGACCTTAGCATAGCCACCATCTCATGTCACGAATCCTAAGTTAACTTGGGGCATTGTCGCTCAATATAATGCCTCTTTATTAAACTAATTTCTCTTACTTTTTCATTGGTTGTCTTAGATTTTCTAGGTTATATCATTAGCAAATAATGCCAATGTTATTTCTTCTTGTCCAATATTTTCTAGTAGGACTGTCCTTAAAGTTACGTAAGTTTTTTCTCTTTCGAATTTTTCCTGTGACAGCATTAGGCCTTATAATTTGATCTTTCTTTGATTTTTCTTTCTGGTGATGTAGTGTCTAAGACATTTGACTGCTAACCAGAAGGCTGGCAGTTCAAACCCACCAGCCACTCCTCGGAAGGAAGATTGGGCAATCTACTTCTGTAGTGATACTGCCTCGGAAACCCAAGGAGGGGTTGTTATGAGTCACGTCCAACTTGACGACACATAACAACAACAACAAGTATATTTTGGTGAAGCCTGAATATGGTATTATGTAAGGATCCTCACCAGGTCTGTGTGTTGAATGTATTGCTGATCTTTGTATACAATTTAAATTTTCCTTTTTCAAATCCTACGAACATTTAGTTAACATTCTCAGTGACTTAGTTCAAAGGTCATTCTAAAAAAAAAAAAGTTGCAGTTGGAAGCCACCAGCCACTCTGGAAGAAAGATGTGGCAGTCTACTTCCATAAAGATGACAGCCTTGGAAAGCTTATGAAATAGTTCTACCCTTTCCTGCAGGATTGCAATGACTTGGAATTGACTCTGTGGCACACAACAGTAACAACAGAGCTTAGTTCAGTTATTTTACAGATTTTTGTTTATAATTTATTTTATAATTACTGTGTTGTTTACTCCATTCTGAGAAATCTTACCCAAGGATACAGTTACGTTGTTGCTGTTAGGTGGTGTTGAGTTAATTTCTACGCATAGCAATTCCATGTGACAGCGTAGAACTGTTTCTGTGGAGCTGCATTGTAGAATACAGTAAGTTATAATAATGTTTCTCAATCTATGGAGAAAGGTCAGTCATATTTTTAATTGCCAGTCTGTCATGAGTCAATACTGTTATAAAACATGAAGTGTGTTGTTTGTTGTTGTTGTTGTTAGGTGCTGTCAAGTCATCTCCGACTCATAGCGACCCCATGCACAGCAGAACGAAACACTGCCCGATCCCGTGCCAGCTTCATGATCTCTGCTATACTTGAGCCCATCATCGCAGCCACTGTGTCAATCCATCTCGTTGAAGGCCTCCCCCCTCTTTCATCCTCCCCCTCTTTTGTTGACCCTCCACCCTAGCAAGCGTGACATCCTTCTCCAGGGAATGGTCCCTTCTGAAGTGTGGTGTTAGGTGCCATCAAGTTGGCTCTGACTCATAGCAACTCTAAGTATAACAGACTGAGACACTGCCCAGTAGTGCACCATCCTCACAATCTTTTCTATACTTGAGCCCATTGTTGTAGCCACTGTGTCAGTCCATCTCATTGAAGGTCTTTTTTATTTTTATTTTTTTTAATTTTAATTTGGGTGAAGGTTTACACAGCTAATTCATTTTCCATGCAGTAGTTCACATACACTTTATCTCATGACATTGATTACAATTTCCCACAATGTAACGGTTCCCCTCCCACTTCCTCCCCTTAGTTACCTTCTTCCCTCCCAAGCACTCCTGTCCCCCACAGCTGTCTCCTTATGCATACACAGCCCTTCTATTCTCCCATGATTGATATCTACAAGGAGTATATCTATCTAATCTTTATGTTCAGCTCATATGCCTGTCTTTTGTTTGGCTAGAAGCCACAGGAGTGGGTTCAATTCCAGCCATGAAGGGCAGCTGTGGGCCATAGTCTCAGGGGTTCCACCAGGCTCTGTCAGACCAGCAAACCTGGTCCCTTTTTTTTTTTCTTTTTATGATTTTGCATTTTGTTCCACATTGTTCTCCCACTCTATCCAGGATCTCCTACATAGATTCCCCTCGTTGAGGGTCTTTACCTTTTTCATTGACCCTCTGCTTTACCAAAAATGAAATCTTTCCCCAGGGAATAGTAAATTATCATTATGTGCAATTGACATGTCTGTATATCTGGAAAACTCAAAAGAAACTGTTAAAAAAAGACTATAAACAGGAAGAATTTATGTTAATGTGACTGAGGAAAAAATTAAAATACAGAAATCATTATTTTTCTAAGGAGAGACAAACTAGTTTGTCAGCTGGCTAACCCAAGGTTCATTGTTAGTAGCATTGTAGGGCCTCCTGTTGAAAACAAAGAGTTGATATGCAGATTTCCCAGGTAATTGAGACCTAAGTTTATGATGGTTGTCTTGTTAGCAAGGTGGTAATTCTGGTAGAAAAGCTTGAAATAATCAAAATGGGTTGGGTGAATCCTTGCCCTCCTTTCAACCTTGTATGAGTGGCAGGGTCTCTTTCCTGGACCACAACCTGTAATGCTTCTTGAACATGCCCAGCCTTAACTCACCTTTGCATGGGATGTGAGAGTTTGTTGGACTGCATATACCCTGATAAGCTTGACTTAGTCATTTTCCCTAACAAATCTGAGTGTGCCATTCATGGTGCCTTTTTAGGAGTCCCTTGTTTGAATTTTCTAATGTGCAAATAACAACTCTTTAGAAGATAAAATGGAAGACCATGATTAAAACAAGGAGCTCTCGTGGCGTAGTGCCTAAGGCATTTGACTGCTAACCAGAAGGTTGGCGGTTCAAACCCACCAGCCACTTCGTGGAAGGAAGACTAGGCAGTCTACTTCTGTAAAGATTTACTGCCTCAGAATCCCAAAGGGGGTCGCTATGAGTCGGAATCGACCTGATGGCAGTGAGGTTTTTTTTTTTTTTTATGGTTAAAATATTAGTAAAGCAGATAATATACCTAGGAACAAACTTGAAAGAAATTGGCAAGATATATATGAAAAAAAATCTTTAAAAATCAGGACAAATAAAGACTAAAATAGAAAGACAGTAATTTTTTGGATAGGAGAATCCAACATTATAAAGAAGACAGTTCTCTATGAGAATTACATACTATAAACAGACACAAAATTAATGCATTTCTACTTACGTACTCCATGTTTCCCACCCATGACTTGATTTTTGCCTAGCATATTGTTTTTTGTTTTTACCTTTATACGTATATATCTTTTTAACTTATCAATTTTAATTGATCTCTTCTGACTAACTGCCGTCAAGTTGAATTGACTCATGGCGACCCCTCCTTGGGTTTCTGAGGTGGTATCTCTACGCAAATGGATCGCCTAATCGTCCTTCTGAGGAGTGGCTGGTGGGTTTGAACCACCAACTTCTGATTAGCAGTCAAATGCCTTGGGCACTACACCACCAGAGTTCTCAATAATATATTACCTAATAATAATAATAATAATAGCATTGATGGTAGCAATATTAATAATTAACACTGAGTATGTACTATATAAGGACCCCTGATGGTGCAGTAGTTAAGAGTTTGGCTGTTCGCTGGAAGGTTGTAAGTTCAAAACCATCAGCACCTCCACAGGAGAAGAGACCTGGAGATCTGCTCCTGTAAAGATTATGGCTTAACATACCCTCTAGGGCAGTTCTACTCTGGTCACACAGGGTCACTGTGAGTCAGAATCCACTTGATGGCACACAACAGCGACAGTGTACCCTATGTCAGATACTGCGTTAAGCACTTTTTATTTATATGTTAACAGATTGAATTTTCAGCTTTGACGTGTACTAAAATTATCTGCATTTTAAGATGTCACAGTCATAGTGCTTGAATTACCTCCTACTTTCTCATTCTTTCCTGACTTGTATTAGTTCTGTTACTTCTACATGCTGCTGCAGTTATCTTCTTTTGGTGTATTCCTCACTCCTACTGGACAGCCTTCCTCATATTTAGGGTTACACTTGTCATTTAATTTTCTAACAAAAAGAATTACACAATGATTGTTAAGGAAAGAATGAAGAACTGTCTTTATGCTGTCATTTTAAACCTGGAAATCTGATAATTATTCTAATGTATTTATCAACAGAATGATATGACAACTGCACGACTACGATGGGGAGATATACTTATGCCATTGCTTAAAAAATATAAACTAAACATCACATGGGGTGACCAAGATTTATTGAATATCATGTTTTTTCATAATCCAGGTAATCATGTATTCTCCTTTTATCCTTTGCATTAAAATAATAATAGTAATAATAACAGCATTTAGTCAGAAATGAAAAAACACTATACACTATTTGTTTTTGATATACATTATTTATCACCATTTATGTTTAAGATAAAATAAAAATTTTCTTCAATATGATTTAGTTGGAAGAGATCTAAATGCCAAACATTGTTTTAATTATTTTAATCTTGTAAGAGTGGTAGTTTTAAACTAAAATTATGGCAGAATGTTAATTCTGTGGGATTAAAGGAATTTGCTTCATATTTTTCTTTTTTTTCCCTTTCTTTACATAGAAAGCCTCTTTGTTTTTCCATGTCAGTGGAATTACCGACCGGATCACTGTATATATGGAAGCAATTGCCAAGAAGCAGAAGAAGAAGGTATCTTTATTCTTCATGGTAACAGGGGTGTTTACCATGATGATAAGCAACCAGCATTTAGAGCTGTTTATGAAGCACTGAGAAATGTAAGCATTTGCTTTTTTCACTTTATGTTTTATATATGGAAATACAAGTTTTCAGAGAACTTGGAAGAATAGTGCAAAGAATTTCCATGTATTCTTTACCCAAGTTCATCAATTATTACCATTTTACACTATTTGTTTTATTGATTCTCACTATATATACATACATTAGTTTTTTTCCTCAATCATTTGAGGGTTATTTGCATGTTTCATGCCCTTTTACTCCTGAAAACTTCTTGGTCTCCTAAGAATTAGGGCAGTTTGTTCTTAACCACAATTTCAGGAAATTGAATGTTGATACTTTAGATTAATACTTTAGTCTACCATCCATGTCTCTTTAGTCTAGATCCTTTGATCTAGAATGGTTTCTTAGCCTTTCTTTGTCTTTTGTGACACTGATGCTGTTAGAGCCCCTCCCTTTTATTTTTTATTCTGGCTTGTCTGATGTTTCCTTAGGCTCACTTTACATGTTCCTGGTCAGAATATTATATAAGGGATTTTGTGTCCCTCTCCATGTATCACATTCATAGTCACCTTTGTCTATCTGCCCTTCATTGGTGGTGATGATTTTGATCTCCAAGTCAACAAGTTGTCTAATTTCCCAGCTTACATAGTTATTTTTTCCCCTTATAAGAAGTCTATGGGTAGGTGTTTTAAAACCATGCGTAGATCCTGCTCCTTATCAGAATTTCCCTCCTAAATTTAGCATCCCTTAGTGATTCTTGCTTGCGCCCATCTTTACTATAGTAGTTGCAAACTGAAGACTGTCCATCTCTGGAACTTCCATACATATCACTTGCCACTCAGCATTCTACTGTAAGGAAGAGCTTTTCATTCTTCCATATTTATTAATTATCTGCTTGAAAACATTGCTGGTTTTTTTTTTTTTTATGATTTATATAATTCATTATTCTCTTTTAATTATGGAAGTTATTCTAGATTTTCCCAGTGGGAACCCCTTTTGGCTGCTTCCTGTGCCCTTTTGACATGTCCCCATGGTTTTGTGTGTGTGTGTGTATGTGTGTGTGTGTTTGTATCTCCTTACTTTCTGTCCCAGAAATATATTCTGAGCTCATCTTACACCTTCCCTGTCCTAGCCCTTAAGTTGACCATTTGTTCAAAGAGTGTTCATTTCTTCCAGTGGGCTCTGTGTGCTAAATGTACTTATTATCATAAGAGTGTCTTTACTTCTAGTCTCATTCAGTGACAGAGTTAGGAAATATAAACAGGTCCTAATATAAACATCCACACATGAAATGTGTTTACACTGATGCCTCAAATTTCAATCTGTCCTCCTAACCTTCTGCTACTGTATATTTTGATCTCCTTTCATTTACAGTTAGAATCCTGGCTCCTAACATCAACATTTCCTCATTTACTGAAATCATAAAATATACTTAAATAATTTCAGAAATGCCTCATTCATACCGTGACCTCCTACCCCTTCATCCCTCTAGATGACCACAGTTTACTAACAGGAATTCAGAATTTGCTTCCAGTTTTTACCCTCTCTCCTCCTTTAGCCCCAGATTGAGGGTGTATTCTCAGTACTGTGTTCAGAAATTACTTGGATTAATAATTTTTTTCTTCCCTTCAATGTGGTTATTATATTCATTTAAAATATAGTTGGGTTCATTTGTTTCAGGGTGTTTTCAGTTTGTTTTTTCTCCTTTCCTTGTTGATTTAATTTTATTTTTTGGTATGTAGAAAATACTAATAGCAGGGTCCCTGGGTGATGCAATTAAGCTCTCAACTCATAGCTCAACTGCTAGGTTGGTGATTTGAACTCACCCAGAGGCACTTCAGAAGATGGGCTTGGAGATCTGCTTGTGGAAGGTCATAGCCTTAAAAACTCGATGGAGCCGTGCTTCACACACATGTAGTTGCCATGAGTCAAAATCCACTCAGTGGCAACTAATAACAACAACAGAATATTAATATACTTTAAAAAGTCAAAACTATGGTTTACTTAGAAGTGTCAGTGCTTCCAATGGTCTTTCCACTCCATACCTCCTCCCCAAAATGTAGATTAGCAACTTCATTGTTTTCTGCTTTGTCCTCGTCTGTTTCTTGTTTCTATCATAAGAGGAGAGATGTATGTGTTCATATTGCTGTATGATGATTTTGTGAGGTACCAGAGTTTATTCAACCAATGTCTTATTTTTGGACATTTCAGTAGTTTACAGTATTTTGGAATTATTTATAATTCAGTGAATAGCTGCAGTGAATGACCTCACCATATGTGTTTTTGGAGATGAATCTTCAGGGTAGGAGTCCCCCCCCCAAAAAAAACCAAACTCACTGCCATCAAGTCGATTCTGACTCATAGTGACCCCCTTTGGGTTTCCAAGGTGGTAAATCTTTACAGAAGTAGATTGCCCCATCTTCCTTCCGCAGAGTGGCTGGTGGGTTTGAACTCCAGCCTTCTGGTTAGCAGTCAAATGCCTTAGACACTAGGCCACTAGAGGTCCTTTGGAATCTCTAGGTGATGCACATACCACCACCACACCTTTCTTCTCAGGAGCCTCGAAGTGGGTTTGAATCTCAAATCTTTAGGTGATGCAAATAGTTAAGCGCTGAGCTGCTAAGTGAAAGGTTTGAGGTTCAAACCCACCTAGAGACTCCTGAGAAGAAAGGTGTAGTGACCTGCTTCTGAAAGGTCACAGCCATGAAACCTGTGGGCATTTGTACTCTGAAACATATGGGGTCACCATGAGGCAGAATCAAATCATGGCAACTGTTTTTTTTATTTGTTTTATCCTTAGGGTAAATTCCTACAAGTGAGATTGTTGGATAAATGCTTACATAGTTTTTTTTGTTGTTGTTAGGCGCCATCAAGTTGGTTTCAGCTCATAGCGACCATATGTTGAACAGATTGAAACACTACCCAGTTCTGTGCCATGCTTGAGCCCATTGTAGCAGCTACTGTTCCAATCCATCTTGTTGAGAGTCTTTCCCTTTTTCTCTGACCCTCTGTTTTACCAAGCATGATAGCCTTCTCCAGGGACTAGTCCCTTCTGATAACATGATCAAAGTATGAGTGCTAAAGGGGCAAGGAGGGGGCATCTTTTGACTTCTTCTAACTACACAAGAGAAGACAGAATCACCATCAGCAGCCCAAGGCCTGTTCTTGAGTCCAGACATGCTGCCACCCTCCAGCTCTCTTACTAACCTTAACACCACCTGTCCCTATCACGGCACCTACCACCTCTCTGCTGGGTTTGATAATTCGCTGCAGTGGCCACACAATGCACAGATTATGGGCTTTGTTAGGGAAGCAACAGGCTATAATTGAAGTTCAGAAACATGCTCAGTCTCTCTCAGCCGGCAGTTTCTCTCTCAGCAGTGCATCTGTCTCAACCGGTGGTCAGAGAGATATTCCTTCTACCTCTAGAAGGACTCATTTTGAGCCTGGCAGTGTGGAAACAACCAATTTCAACATCAGAATTGTATGTAAACTTTCCCAGAAGATTACTTTGTGCTGCCCCAGGTGGATGACTTTAACAACCAGCTACTCAGTTGCTCATGGCAAAGAGGGAGTTACAAAGACTATGGCTAGAAAAGCCATACCATGTAATTTACTACACCACATTGAGAGACAAAGTCTGGCCATTCTCACCTCTAAGGAGCATTCTTGCACTTCCTCCAAGACAGATTTGTTTGTTCTTCTGGCAGTCCATGATATTTTCAATATTATTCACTAATACTACAACTCAAATGCATCAGTTTTCTTTGGTCTTTCTTATTCATTGTCCAACTTTCACATGCATATGAGACTATTGAAAATATCATGGTTTGATTAGGTACACTTTAGTCTTCAAAGTGACATCTTTGCTCTTTAACACTTTAAAGAGGTCCTCTGAAGCTGATTTGCCCAATGCAATATGGTATCTGATTTCTTTACTGCTGCTGCTGTGCATGTTGACTGTGAATCCAAGGAAAAGGAAATCCTTAATGATTTCAGTCTTGTCTCCATTTATCATGATGATGTTGCTTATTGGTCCAGTTGTGAGGATTTTAGTTTTCTTTATGTTGAGGTATAATCCATACTGAAGGCTGTAGTGTCTGATCTTTGTCAGTAAGTGCTTCAAGTCTTCCTCACTTTCAGCGAACAAGGCTGTGTGGTCTGTGTATTTTAGGTTGTTAATGAGTCTTCCTCCAATCCTGATGCTGCATTTTTCTTCAGTAGTCCAACTTCTCTTTTACTGTTTGCTCAGCATACAGATTTAATAAGTATGGTGAAAGGATACAACCCTGACACACACCTTTCCTGATTTTAAGCCATGAATTATCCCCTTGTCCTGTTCAAACAACTACGTCTTGGTCTTTGTACAGGTTTCCCATGAGTCCAATTAAGTGTTCTGGAATTAAGTGAAGAAAAAAAATTCAAGCCTTGAGTTGCGATATTGAAGGGTTCTGTGGACAAAATATTAAATTGTTTCATGAATCTGTCTGTTTATGTACTAGTACCACACTCTTTTTATTACAAAGGCTTTATAAACCATAACCAAACCCACTGGCATTGAATTGATTTCAACTCATAGTGACCCCCATTGGGTTTCCAAGACAGTAAATCTTTTTTTTTTTTTTTACACTAGAGATCAAACTTTATTAGACTGTGTATTTTTTTTTTTATTTTAAGATCTTGTTTTACATTCAGTGTAACGCATACATTTAGTTTCATTCCCCATTCACCACGTCCAACCCTAACCTAGTCTCCTCCCCTCCCTACCCTGCAACCCTCCCCCTGTGCCTCTCATATTTATGCACTTCTGTTTGTCCTGCATTTCCTCAGTTTGAATGTTGGTCCTCTGGTGTCCCATGGTCTATTGCTCTAAGGGATGTACTACCATAGAGTATGTGGGTGCATCATCCTGGGTTGAGTGGTCTGCATGTACATCTTGTTAATTATTGGACTGAGAGCCTGCCCCTGGGGGTGAGTTTTATTCCAGGCGCAGAATGTATTCCAGGGTCATAGTATTGGGAGTCTCACCAGATTTCAT